GAGCACTTAAAAATTTTGTCGGGAAAATCACTCACTGAACAGGTAGGTCGTTTTCAAAGAACGACTGTCAAACGGAAATTGTTCATTTCCTTTACGCAAAATTCACGATAATTTGTGCAAAAGGTAGTTGTGGAACAAAAACCATTCATGCAGTTAACCTAATTCAAGTTTTATGCAAAACGCATGGTCGCACCGGCAGACCTGGTGCACTCCAGGGGCCTGTATTTTCATTCATGCGCGTAAATGTTATATGTCCTGTACATATTTATTTGATCAGCACACTGATTGCTCAATAAATAGTTGCTCTTCAAATGCACAATGTTCCACAGCGGGATGACAGAAGACCATATCGACAGCATCTGTTGTCCATCAAAATGAATCCTATCTCGGTATACAAAATGCGGATACTCTGCTTACCCCTCCATGAACATTTTCTTGAACGTATCCTTGAAGGCAAAATTGAGCGCTTGGGTAGGGAAGTATCGGATCACATTGGCCAGATTGCCTCGCCATAGAGCAAGCAAACCCTGCTCCCGGGGCACTCGAATTAGCACGTCAAATATGCCTCTGTAACGTTTCTCAACAGCAATCGTCTTCTGCGCATCTTGCACCTGAAACAAACCAACCACTGCATCCGCGGAATTACCGTATCCTGGAGGTGTGTGGCAATTCCACTCTTTCCCTTGTGTGGTAACAAAAACCTACAAATTGATGATTTGTACCTTCCGCGATCTCCCTGTTTCCCGCAACTCTATAAAATTTGTCCTGTCTGGAGAATGAAATATGTGATTTAAACTGACAAATGCCTAACTGAGATGTGACATGACTCATACCTGCAACAATATTTTCACCCTTTCGATGGGTGCTACGGCAGTCTTCGATATTGCGGCGGCCGTTCCGCCAGTCGCCAAATCAACAAAAAATTTTTTCGCATCAAATTTCTTAACTGAACTGAATGGATCAATCTTTTTGAGCTTGCTTTCATGCTTCTCTGAAAAGGCCAAAACCGGCTACTTTCATTTTGGGCTTCAAATATCTCTAAATTTTCTTGAGTTCCTGAAAATCGAAAATTGCCCAAAAGCTCTTATATTTTGCCAGAAATTTTTATCAAAAGTTACGAAAAATAACTCTGCCGAGGATATTTTGCTTGCGTCAGTAGTTTCAAAAGCAAGCGTTTTCAGGTAAATTCCCTCCAGTAAACTTGAAAAGTTGATGTGGAATTGCTTTGGCGTAGAAGAAATGATAAATCAAGGAGAAGGAATCCATAAAATGCAAGTAGAGGCAATCGGGAGACGGAAGAGTCTTTCAAAAAAAAAAAAAAAAACGAAAAACTGCTTTTGTCATAGCGCAGAATGCCAAAAAGCAGTTACGACGTATCAAAAATCATTCCATTATTCGCTTTGAAATTCTTACGCTAAACCAAATCTTTTATAGATCACTAATAATTTGAAATTTATCTACAACTTGACAATAATGTAATCAGTTTGTGCAAAATGCTGCAAAAATTATGACTTTCAATAATCAAAAATATTTTCAAATGATGCCTTTCGCATATTACTGTAAAAGTCTTCCACTCCGGGAACACCCAGGCAGCGCATTTCGCTGTCCAATCTCTGTGTTGGGTTAAGCTTTAGCCCAAACTTGCTCACTATAAACTGCCTGCCTGTTTTCACCGTTTATTTGAAACCAGTACTTTGAGAAATCTGCGACTGTCCACAGTAGTTGTATATCTATAGAGGTCGCCGGGATACACCAGAGGCTAAGAAGAGGATAAGCGAAGGAGCATAATCTTTGCGTTGAGTTATGCTTCAACCCAAATTACTCATTTTGGGTTGAAGGGGATCGGTAAAACGAGGTTCGCAGAAAGTGCGGTGAAGTGCATTCAAGAATGAGAAATGCAAAACCATAAATACACGAACTGGGAAAATAGAGGGCGCAAAGAAGCCCACTGATGAGACACTGTCTGTCTGTCGAATCCAAAATCCTGTTTTCACTGGGCATTTCCTAGACTCCTTCGCATCTCAACACCTCACTCCCGCAGATTACTGTAATCTATTGCACTCATGTTTGGCTCACAAAGTGAGGCACATCATCTGTGGAACAGTAAAATTCGAACAGGCGGGCTTCTTTTCACAAAAAAGTGCACTTCTCAAACGATAAGAACAGCAGCTGGTCGGTCAGGTCCCCCAATCCAGAGAGGAGGGTCCAGATAACGATGACGATAACGACGACGATGCACTTCTCTAGCGTTAGGAGCCGACGTCAGTGCACAAGCAGTGCTCGTACGTCACAGACACTCTCCTATCGAACGTTGTATACACACCGATGATGGCAATCCAGCAGGGGCAACAAGCGAACAGGATGAGTCTAAGCAACGTACATTCATACGAGAGGAAAGTCCAATGACGAAAAACGAGAGCGAACCAGGACAAAGTCGTTTGAAAAACGTACAGGCAACGAGTTCATTTGCATTTACCTCTATCGCGCACATGCGGGTACACATTTCCAAAACGCGAATGCTTCATAAGGACGACAAAAATGAATTTGACACAAAATATGTTGCAACATAGAACATGCGTTATGCATGAATGCTTAAGCTGTGATGCTGAGCTTATGGTTTAAGAAAATTTGAATTAATTTTGATATTAGTATAGTGGAAATTAACTAATATTATTCGTGCATATATAAGAAACATTCGGAAAAAAAGTAAATAAATACAAAAAATTTGAACTGGAATATTTCAGTCCACTTTAACTTAGTAGACCGAAACGTCTTATCTCACTCTCCCAACTTCCTTAACCTACTCAATTTTCTTGTCTTCTTCTCCCCCACCCATTTTAGCTTTGTTTTATTCTCTTGCATGCACTGCAAAGTCACGAAAACAGGCTACGGACGACTAGTGTGAAAAGCCCGATAAAAATGTATAGCAAAGCACTGTCGCAGGCCCTCCTGCCCAGAGATGGTTGATTTTCCATCACTGCGTACCCGTGTCTGCGTATAGATTCTTTCGCAAACCTTTCTGAACTGTGGAAGTTTCGGTATTTATGGGATCCACCAAGTTTCGGTATTTATGGGTACTACGGAACGAAAAATACCTGAATTCATTGTTAGATAGAGCACCCGCCATGCGAGGAACCGCTGTTCGGTTGCCAAAAACAGCAGAACATAGAAAGTTGCAAAACTACTTAACACAAAATTACAAAACTGCGAAAAAATTGTCACTCTGTTCGATGAAGTCTCCTCGAATAGCGACAGATGAGGTAGTTTTTCAAACTTTCAAAACATCGACTTTGTTCTATTTTGGAAGAAGAATCGCTTCACAGCACGTTCATCAAACTTTATAAAAACGAAGAGCTACTAAGAAAAATCAGCGGCCGACTAAAGACATAAAAACGCGAAGAGAAGAAGCAACAAAGTCCAGATCAGACAGAAAATAATAAGTCACCAGTACGAGAAAAGCCAGGCTACAAAGCACAAAGTTTTCGCGAATTGCTACTTCTTTTTCAACGCTTTATATTATCTTTGTTGCTCAGGTGAGCACTACGCGAGTGTACTACAATCCGCATAAAGATGTGAAGTCAGCAATGCATATCTTACAGCATAAATTTTAAACCACTAATGAGCTTCTTTCAGCTTTCCTTTTGTCTTTTCAAAAAAACTCCCTTGAGAACTAGCAGAGTCTCTCCACGCATGCTTTTTTCGGCAAATCAGAAGAGGTCCAAAAAGGCGACTCACCTTCAGCCATCTCGAATACGCGCTGGGCCCGTCTGTGACTGCCGCCGAGCAATAACCTGAATTATAGTCTCTTACTCACACACACATATTACAATGACTGTACAATAAGAATTCGCGCAACAACAGATGACATCATTCCGTGAGGCTCTAGTGAGAATCGCCGTGAACAGACCAGCTCCAAAACAATGCCTCCACTGACCAAGGGAGCAACGTCAAGTTCCAGCCAGCAGCAAACAAGTTTTTCTCGGGCCACAAAACATCTAAGAACGATCCGTTTTCGACAGAAAATGAAGGATTCGAGAAGCCACGCCGAATTTCCGAAATCAGTAATCAGACAAAAAAAATTCAATTACCATAACCATTGTAATTGTCAAACGGGCAGGAACTGCAAATACCAAATGTAGGGGGGCGAACAAATGACCACGCGGAATAGTATGGCATTGAGCATTATCGCAGGCGCAGATCACTCACTACCTTTACACCGATTGGAGCTCGCTGCCCACTAAGCAGCAAGCTTTCTCTTATCTACTACTCCCCAAAAAAGGCAGCCGGGCAATAATAACGGGACAGCTGCTGACAGTTTGCTCTACTCGAGGCCAGGCGGCAAAAAAGTTCAAAGATGGCCTTAAAAGCAGGGATATGCGAAAAACCTGTCTCTCAGAGGGATTCGAAATGTCGAGCGTTTTTAGAGGATAAGAGCTGCTCGTCGCCGTTGCATTTTGGGAAGAATCAATCAGAAGTGAAGCCTATTCCATCAAAAGCTACGATAAGTTGTTCCAGCAGTGTAATGTACAGAGCCACCAACAGCGTCAAACAGTGCAGTGTTCGTCTGCTGATTTTGCGCGTGCTCCCACCGTTTTACTTTCGATCACTTGTTACCTTTACCATTATTGCTGTTAATACAATCGGTATCATTAATATTATTATGTAGCAAAGGTCATTCCACAATATTAAGTTTATCCCATGATTACGTCGGAAAAATATCTTAAGATTGCTTCTGAACAGTCTCCACATTTCAGAGAGATATCGGCAGCCTTATCAGCAGGGCGCATTACTATGATTTGCAACCCAACTGAGTTACTTCCGACTGCCTCCGATACTTACAGAGAGCAGTATAGAAAGGATTCGTCTTTCGACTTCTAATATCACTAAAGCATTTTAGTAAAAAATTATTATTATTATTATAATCATTGTCATTGTTATCATCATCATTATTATTATCGCCAAACTTTATCTAGAAAGCCAACATTTCTTGCATCCAAAATACAACTTCCATGTTTTCACTCTCATTAGAAAGCTTACAGTAATCATTAATCATTCGAACAACAGATCTTTGATCAAAGAAGCCTAAAAAGTGAACTTTTGCAACTCGTCTAACTGTGCTTTTCAAACGTAAGGATCTTGTTCCCATCAAGCGCAACCACAACGCTTAAAGCCTTTCGGTGCACGAATTTGCGATGAGCCCTACACTGCCCTATTTATCGAATTCCCACGCCTATAACAATCTTGTCGGATTCGCCCCCATATAAATCGTTTTACAGTAACTGATTACGGTACTTGCTGAGGCCGCGTGAAACAAGTGTTTTGGCTGAGGAGTAGAGGCAAGCGATGTAGTGCACTTACAGGGTCATCCTTCTCCTTTCGTTCCCAGCTTGCGTCCTACGCAAAATCCGATTCACCTAAGATTCAAGCTGTTTATGAGTTATGCATAACCATTGCTGTCAGTAGTTAAGCACGTGTGTCGGTCGTGTAAGATCGGGGAAATTACGAGTACCTGCCGCCAAGGCCGCGATGCATCAGTGGCAATGAAGGAGCGGGCTCCTAGATATAAATAGACGGAACTGAGAGTTCATTTTACAGCTGGGGACCCACTCATAGTGACAGAATCAGTTGCAAAAATTTCAGCTTCGCAGCTTTCGCAGATCTGGAAGTACAAATATGCGGAGAATTGTTACGCACACACACAAACACACACACATGCACACACACACACTCACGCACGCAAACACACATACATACACGCACACACACCCATAGCGGACTCATAGCGTACTCTTTCACAGTATGCGTTTTTGCACTGCATACATGCAAAAAAAAAGACATAAAAGTGCCCTAACTGCTCGCAATACACTCGCTTTAGCTTGAAACGGCTCCGAGCAGCCAAAATGCACACAGGAGTCGAGCGCACGCGAACTCCACAGTTCTTAAAAAAAGGCTACTCCATTGCGGTAAAATGCTGTGCACTGGAGATGTGGCGCGTGCGGAAATGTGAATGTTGAGGCGAAATAGTGATGCGTCAGTGTTCGAGAAACGAAGCAGTGCGAGCCGCGGGGGGCACAAGCACTATCGATCAGCAGAACGAACACCAGCACCGGCTGGCAGACTTTTTTTCAGGATAGCCTTTGTTCGGCTCGTTTTGCTGTTCGCAATAGCATTCTTGCTCCGTCGAGTGGTGGCAGCACCAATAACGAAGTGGGAATACGAAAAAGGGACACGTAAGTACGATGGCGCAGCGTCCGGAATAAGTTCGGATGTGTACAAGTCATTCGTACAGTTTGTGCAGGAAATGCTTGGCGCACCGGGCCTGTCGGGTTTGGCAAGTACACCACGTCAAGTTACGCCACGCTATTGCAAGTCACTCACTCCAAAGCACTTTGACTTATTTTGAGTTGCTCTATTTTTTCGACTGGACTCAGACACAGCAGAACATGCAGTAAAGAGTGGCTTTTTTAGGACAGTAGTAGACAGGAGCAGTAACAAGAAGGCAGTGTTTAAATAAGAGTAAGTTTTGGTGAAGATTCGATTACGTTCTGGTATAAAAGACATAATAAACAAATAGCGGCGCGCACCAGGGCAGCCTGCGATCCATGCGTTTTGTGCAATTCCGTCCACCGATTGATTGCCTGCTAGTGATTTTCACCGCTTTAAATTTAAATTTGAGAGTTTGCACGTCGGCAAGAAACAGTCCCCCAAAATTTCAGCTTTATAGATTCTGCGGCTCCCGAGATAGCCGGAAGTTACACTAGGCCGTATATGTTATCCGCGGATACAGGAAGGTTGAGTTTAGATTTTCTGGATCGCACATGGGCAGGGGACATACCCATAAATTTTTAGCTTTCTAGCTCCCGTGGTTCTCGAGATAATAATTTTCCCTGCCAGAACTTTTACGGGGCCATACGTGTTACCCGCGAGCACGGGGAGGCTGAATTTAAATATGCGAGGTCACACGTGGGTGGGAACATTCCCCTAAATTTTCAGCTTCCTAGCTCCTGTGGTCCCCTAGTTGCTGGCAAGTTGTTGCGGACACAAACACAAACAATCCCGTGACAATATGCGTTTTGTACTGCTGTTACACAGCAAACCCAGGCTGGAACGCACCAGGCGAGCCGGCGCGATCATGCGTTTTTGCATCAAACTTTGAGG